TTGGCATCCACCGCTGCTGCTGCTGCTGCTGCACCTCCGCATTCTCTCCATCCTCCACCCAGTCCGCCCATCCCAACTGCTTCTTCCATTTGGGGCCAATGACTGGCGTCCTGTCCCCATCATGGAATACCTGCCTAGTCTGCAGCAAGAATTCGATGAGCTGAAGCCATCGCTGTTCGGTACGTGCCCTTGGCGCACACCCCAAGCTATGTCAACGAACACTCGACTAACCCGCATCCCATCGCAGAGCTACTCGCCGAACAACAGCTGTCCGACCTTTTGCCTCCCTCAATCCGATACATCCTTGCCGTCGCGACCCATCGCCATCCACGATATCTCCTTCGAATTCTCAACTCCTACGACGAGATCTACGCGCTGCTCTCCCTCGTCGTCGAACGCTACTACCTGCGCACCTTCGGCGGCTCCTTCACAGAGAACTTCTACTCCCTCAAACGCGAACGAGTCCTCCTCACCAAGAATGGCGAGATCCCTCGTGCCCAGCTGGGCGCTCCAGGCCCCGTCCGCGAAGCCCTCAAGCTCCGCACCTCAGACGTCTGGAAGAACCTCCTCGTCCTAGTCGGAATTCCCTACCTAAAGCGCAAGCTCGACGAAGGCTACGACATCCACGCCGCACCACAAGCATCCCTAATTATGAGCGGTGGCCCTCGATACAACCCAGGCGATGACCTCCCTCATAATCCAACAATCCGCCAACGTCTCCTCCACTACTACAAGTGGTTCCTCCGCAACATCTACCCCTCCGTCAACGCCGCATACTACTTCTCCATCCTCGCCTTCAACCTCGCCTACCTCTTCGACAACACAAAATACTCCTCCCCCTTCCTCTGGCTCATCGGCACCCGCATCCGTCGTCTCAGCTCCGCCGACCACCGGGCCATCGCCTCCATCCTCGACCCCAAGCCCCCTCCCCCAGGTCCCGGTGGCGCAGGCGCCCGCACCCGCCCTGGCTCCGGCCTCCTGGGCCTCCTCAGCCCGCAGAACTTCTACCCCCAACTTCTCACCTCTCTCCGCTACTTCCTCCCAGCTTCCATCTTCGCCCTCAAGTTCCTCGAATGGTGGCACGCAAGTGACTTCTCGCGCCAGCTCGCCCGCAAAGCAACCGAGGTCCTGGACCTTCCTGCCCCTGTCGCAGCGGGAATGACGCCTCCCTCGGAGAAGCGAAAGGCAGCCGCCGCGGCCGCAGCCACAGAGAAACAACAACAGCAACAGCCATCATCCCCAACCCTCAAATCAGCATTGAAATCAGCCCCTCCCGTGCGCACACGCATCCAACCGCCCATCTCGGCTACCTCGTATCTACCCATCTTCACTGTTCCACTTCCCCCGCCGGAATCGGATGTCGCGTCCGCGTGCCCGATCTGTTTGAATGCGCTTACGAACCCTACGGCGTGTCAGACGGGGTATGTTTTTTGCTACGTGTGTATCTTCCACTGGTTGAATGGGGAGCATCAGCGGCAATTGGATTTCATGAATGGGGAGGGTGCGGGCGCTGCGTGGGCCGATGATGATTTGGAGGGGGGTGAGGAAGTGAAACAGGGTGATGATGATGAGGAGGAGATGAAGGAGTCGAGGAGTAGACGGGGGAAGTGGGAGAGTGGGAAGGGAAGGTGTCCGGTTACGGGGAGAAGGGTACTTGGTGGGACGGAGGGGTTGAGGAGGGTGTTGGTGTAGATATTTTACAGGATTATATTGTGTGAATGGCTTGCATGATTTGTATGGAGCGTATATATACTTAGTACTATGCATTGTGTGAAAGGAAAGTTAAAGTCAAGTCATTCATGTTCACTTCAATATTGATATTGCTGTTGGTATTTCAAAGAGCCCAAGAATAAACAGGCCGGGTATATTATAGCACACTGCACTATACACACGCTATGCCGATGATCAAGGTAAGGTAGTGGCCATTATCTAAGAAATGACATATGGCTCTGCTCCGTCTCCGAATAGAACTTCAGGTTGTTCAGCCGCGACCTTCAATATAGTCTGAGAGAAGACCGAGTTCGCCCACGCGAACCACGGTCTCGTGTATGATTTGATGTTGTTGACATCGATGGACTCGTGGACTAAGCCCAGGAGACTGGAGTTGCGGACTATATTCAGAGACTCGGTGATCTCCGTTACGTTGTCGGTTGTCAGTGCCTGCACGAGGAGGGACATTGGCCAGGCGTTTTCGAGACCAACTGGTGATGAGTCCGTGTTAGTTACTAATCTTGGTTCTCAGAGTTTTGGGGGTTCGGGGGCATTGCTTACTGTGAGGTCCACCGATGCCGTGAAAGTCCGACCCAGTGAGGTAGTATGGGTTTCCATTAGGGTCGAGGATCATCTTGCGGGTGTTTTGGTAGACTTGATCGGACTTATCGACGAAGCCTAGGTAGGGCAGGGCTAGGAGGGATGGAATGTTCGCATCGTCCATGAAGATGCGCGAGCCGTACCCGTCTACTTCAAAGGCGTAGACCTCGCCGTACTTCTCGTGGTTGAAGATGCCGTGTTGGCGGACTGCTTGCTCGAGGTTCTCTCCGCGGGTTTGAAGATTGGATGCGAGGGCTGAGTCGCCGCCAGCAGCGCGGATCAGGTCCGCGGTCTTCTTCAGTTGCACGGACATCATGGCGTTTGCGGGGATAAAGAAGCCCAGGATAGTGGCGTCATCGCTAGGACGGAATGCGCTGCGGATGAGTCCGGTGCCTCCATTGAGCGGGTTCCCGATCCCGGCGAGGTTGAGAGTTTCCGTGCCGAGGGTTGTCTGGCGCTGGAAGGTGTACTGATTCTGGACATACTGGCGGTTGCTATTGAATGTTGGCTGGGACTGGGCGTCGGTGGTGTTCAGGAGTGTGTCCAGGGCGAGGTACCACCGACTGGTAAGGAATTCGGTGGAGCCGGTGTTTTCGTAGAATTCGTTGCCCAGGGCGAGGAAGTTGGCTAAGGAGTCGAGCTCGTACTTGCATTCGTAGACAACGGAGGGCTCATATGCTGGGTGCACGGTGTCTTGCTGGCCGTTGTTTGTTGCTTGGATACCACTAGGCGGAGGGGGCTGAAATGCGTTACAGTAGGGCGATTGGATGACGAACTCGGCCTGCGTGTGAATGGCCCCGAGAATAAGGTTGTAAAGAGCTGGGTCCTTCTTTGCAAGTGTCTGATAGCCAGTCAATTGGTTTGTCGAGTCGCGTAGCCACTCTGCATTGATGTCTCCGGTCACGACAAAGGTCTGGGCTCCTTGCCATTGTGAACTATCTCGCCTCATCTTCCTAGAGGAGGAAGTAGTAGATGTGCTATTGACGTGCCAGCGGATGGTTGTGTCCAGTGTGTTGGGGAAGGCATTGCGAAACAGCTGAGCCATGTCCTTGTCTACCATGCGCGAGGTCACATCATCGATGACCTGTTCTACTGCATTTGAGACAAAGGTCCGACATTCTGCTGCGGGTCTTTGGTAGGGCAGATTTAGAGGACCACCGCTGTATGGGGCACTGGAAGTGAAGGAAAGTATGAGCAAGCTGATACAGAGCTTATATCGAAGGCGTGATCCCTTACTGTCCAGTAGAAGCATAAGAGGTGTAGTCTGGACAAGCCCGACGCAGAATGGAAGGCTCATCGCGACCTGCAGCTCCCCTTGCACCCAAGCCGGCCGCGAGGGTGATGGCCAGCGACAACGAGCGCATCTTGACGGCTGGATAGCGACTCTCGCTTATGGTGAATAAATATTATGAGGTCAGAAGGATGATCGAGAGTGCCATTGACCATTTGAAGGGGATTAGGGGGAACAACGGCATGTTTTGAAGTCGGCCGGTTGGGGGATGACAGGGGAAGGCAGGGGAATGCGGGGAAGATCGCAAACAGCCGATTTTCAACGATGATCCCCCGGATTCCCTGCAGTATTTCCACCCATCATACTAGTCACCCTCACCCTGCAGAATGTCCACTGAACCCTTCACAGCGCTGATACGTTATTGCAGTATCAGCTCATTGCATCCATCACTCGCATTCACTGCTATCTGAATTATACAGCTACCAGCCTCGGCAAGTCTAATTCTTCGCTCGACTAACTAGTTAGCCGACTCACAGGTGTCCTGATCAGCAGATGGTTCAGGTCTTCTCGGTCCTAGTCGCCTGACACACTTTCATATTAGATGCCGGCATTAGCCTGTCGATCATATCCCAGGACGGTATTCGCCTGGAGAAAACATGAACGTTATCATACTAGGCTTCGAAGCATTGACTTTAGCCCAGAACTGGGACTTGTCTCGCTGGCATAGTAGAGCCTGAAAATGATGGATTCACCCATGGCTGTTATCCACGGCTATCAGAGCCAGTCATACTCATGACGATCAATACTCGAAGGTGGTACATTTTAAGAACGCCGAAAATGCTTGGCATATATCTGTAGTCAAAGCTCTATCTGATTTTGAATGACGCCGTTGTACCTGAACTGAGCCTATTACGTAGGTTGAAAATTGGAAAGGCTTTGCATGTCGAACAGAAATAATGAAGCTATGTACTATACATGCAGCGCTGTATGCAGGAACCGTATAAGGACTGTAGGAAGGGGAAACAGCAGACCAGATATTGACGACTCGTGACAAGCAGTTCGTTATTTGGTGCCGATGGTTATGATGATGTGACCAGGCGTGAGAAATTGGTCTGGTTTGACGCTGAAAGTGCCTGAGGTTTTATCAGTTCATTGCACTGCATACGCCAATGTCTTCTTGGGAGTGCTGAGGTGCACTAGTCTCTGCCAGCGTATATAGTGGACAAGCCCAGGATATGGTGTCTGAGCATCAGAGGCAGAGACAATCGGTCATGACGCGGTTTCAAAAACGAGCGACTATTCAAGAGCCACGACAGTTGTTCACTTCTTTGAGAAGAAGGACATAATGCTGCCTTGTCCTGGTTTCGCTGCTGGTTTGCCCTTGGGCGCGCTCACAGCGGGCTTCTTCTTAGGAGGCGGTGCTGGCTCGTCTTCTGAGAATGACTCCCAGCTTGGCTCCTCAACGGTCACTTAGCACCAACCAGTCAGCTGCTGTTGATATCCAGGTAGCACCGGATGATCTTACCCAGATAGCCCTCATCGTCCTTGACTGTCTTCTTCTTCATGACTTGGCGCCTGCCCCTGCGACGACCGCCCTTAACCGTGACTTCTTCCTTGAGCTCAGCTTGTTTCGGCCGCGGCGGCTCGTCGATAGGCTTAGACTCTTCCGGTGAGGGTGCAGCGTCAGGCATTTCTTCGTCTTCGTCTTCGTCTGGTACCAGTCAGCAAAGTTAACGATAACAGGGAGGTAACATACCATCATCTTCCATCATCTTTCTGAGCCTTTCTTCACGCTCTTTCCGCGACTCACGTGTACCGGCGGACGCGGACTTCCCTGAGTCCCGGAAAAGCTCCTCAGGTTCCTCATCCCCGTCCGATGCATCGTCTAGAACCACTGCTACTCATTAGTGTCGTGTCAAAGGCCAAGATAGACGGTAAACACTCACCATCTTCAGCACCACTGGGTTCGGCCTGGTTGATCGTCAGTCACTCAATACCAAGCCAATTAGGGTAAAGTCAAACTGACCGATTCGGCAGCAGAAGTGGCCGGCGTGGTTGAATCCTCTATTTTCTGCTTCGGCTTGGCCTTTGCAAAGGAGCTAAATATACTGCCCTTTTGCTTCGGAGGAGCTGTCTTCTCAGTCGGTTTAGTAGACGCCGGTGTTTCCTCGCGTTTAGTCGTCGGCTCTGGCTTCGCAGCCTCGGCTTCAGTTTCTTTCTTTAGTTGTGGTGTCTCTTCATTCTTGATAGGACGCTTAGCTGGAATGGTCGTCTTGGGAGGAGCTGGAGCCTGAGCGGGGGCTGGAACGGGAGGGCGGCCCCCGGTTCTTCTCTGCAGCACAAATTGCATTAGAATCAGAGATGTATGTAAGCGCAAGGGCACGTCTTACCCGGACATTGTTGCCCTGGATCATGCCCCAAGATTTGCCGTATTCTAGAGGATCCTCCTGAGCATGCTTGGCAATCATTTCACTCGCGACATCTGTCAAGACATTGAGATCCTGGAGTACCGCTGGCTGAAGGCTGTAGACGTATATCGATGAGACTGATTGGAAGGTCGTCTTGGCATCTACAGGCTGTGTTAGCAGGCTCCATCCTTTGTGCAACATCGTGGAAGCAATTTCATGTACCCTCCAAGTCTTCCTCTCGCACAAGCACAACCGAGGACATGGCGATCTCATCCGTAGCGACGTCCTGATTCGGCATCGAACTGCTAATGTAGGGACTGCTCTGGGGAATTCCATCAAAGCTGTCCTGAGCGCCATTTGTTGTGGAAGGAGTCTCGGGCGCTTTCTGAACTCCCGTAATAATATAAGTCGCATTGACGCTGTTTGGCTTCTTGCTGTTTTCGTTACGGTGAAAATCGAAGAGCATCCTTTCAAATACCAATCAGAGTGTTTCCTGTGTAAAAACACATGTAGTTCGCATATAGACATACTGCTTGGCCAGGGTACTATGAACCCGAAGGGCTCGACCTAAGGACCGGTAGGTGACCTGTAGTATGCGCCGAAGCTGTGAGTGGATATCTAGCTTGCAGCACAATAGACGTCACTCACCGTGCGTCGCTCATTGAGGACATTCTCAGCAAGGTACCTCTTGTAATCAGCAACAGCCATGATGACAGCAGCCTCTTGATCGTGTGCGAAAAACGGCGTTGTTCAAAGCAACATGCGATGCGGAGTAGAATATGGACGACGCGTTCTGGAAGCACTTTACGCGTATCAGTCAGCGGGTCTTGGCACCGCAGCCATTCTCCGATCCATCACAATAACCAATTATGGTGATCGCCAACTGCCATTTAGTGTCCATTACAGCCTTAGAAACTCCTCTCACTCCGCCTTTGTTCCCTAGACCTGTCCGTATATCCGATGATACCTCGATAGTCGCCGCAGCTTTCACACACCCACCCCTATGGACCAGACCTTCGACCTCCCCGACTCGACCGATTGGCTTACAACGCCACTGTCACTCGTCGCGCCTCTCGAATCCGCCCTCCGTTGCCAGGTCTGTAAGGACTTCTTCGATAACCCGGTGATTACTTCGTGCAGCCATACATTCTGCTCACTTTGCATTCGGCGGTGTCTAAGCACAGAAGGCAAATGCCCCGCGTGCCGCAGCTCGGATCAGGAATTGAAGTTGCGGCGCAACTGGGCTGTTCAGGAACTGGTTGAGGCGTTCCAGAATGCTAGACCCAATGTTTTAGATCTGGCGAGGAAGGCTGCTGCGCGGGGGAGTGATACTGAGGAGGGAGAGTCGGAGGAACCCGCACCGAAGAAGCGAAAGGTCGAGGCTGTAGATGGGCCTGCTGCGGAGGGCGTCAGGACTCGATCGCAAACTCGGGGAATTGGCTCTCAGGAAGATCCTGTTGCGATTGAGGTGATTGAGGATAGTAATGATGATGAATATGTTCCAGGTGTGTATGCTCATCGGCACAGTTGCGCCGCATGCTAATCGCCACTGAAGACGACGGACTGGTCGCGTGCCCAATCTGCAACCGGAGGATGAAGAATGAAGCGGTGTTTCGACACTTGGATACATGCACTGGAGAGCCCGCGCCGCCCAAACAAATGAATTTTGGGTAAGATATGTCTTTTGGAGCGTGTCTACATGTGTGCTTCTAACTCGGAATTATAGATCGTTACAACCCATGCCACAACCGTCGCAGAGAGCAAAAGACGCCCTGAATAAAACACCAGAACGACTGCCCATTATAAACTATTCTCTATTGAAAGATAATGTGCTCCGAAAGAAGTTAAAAGATTTGGGTATACCGAACACGGGCCCGAGGCCCCTTCTGCAACGACGTCACACAGAGTGGATGAATTTGTGGAATGCCAACTGCGACTCCAAAACGCCAAAGTCCAAAAGGGAATTGCTGAGAGAACTGGATATCTGGGAACGCACGCAAGGCGGCCAAGCGCAACTATCAGGGGACGTCACAGATACTGTCATGCGCAAAGACTTTGATGCGGCGGCGTGGTCAACGAGTCATGACGATGACTTCAAGCGGCTCATTGCCAATGCGCGAAAAAAGAGCGAAGCGCAGGTGCGCACCACGATACCACAAGAACCTGTAGGCACAAATCAGGCAACCGACCAGCTTGCCAGTCCGACAACGTATCAGCCTTCGAGTGTGCCTGTTGTTGAGCATACCGAAGCCATGCATGCGACGGAAGATGCCCACCCTCCGGAGAAGTTGACTGTAGATGACAAAACCGTTATTGTCCCTGAGGTCCAAGCGCAGACACTACAGGGCTCAGTTGATAGCCAGATGACCAATGCGCAAAATTAATTGCACTTGGTGTATGTGCCTAGAATATGCGGATTGCGCAGGTTCCCAGGCCATGGAGGATTGTTCATCGTCTTGCGCTAAGCAGTGGTATTGGGACCCTCCTCGACCGACATCCGAGACAGGCGGTCCTCCAATTCCGATTCCACGGCTCGCTCTGCTGCTGCTCTGCGAGCGGCTTCCTGAGCGCCCTGCTGGAGACTGTCAAGTTCGGCAAGCTTCTTGCGAGTCTCTTCTGCCTCCTTCTCTTCCATTTCCTCCCGCTCCTTGTTCTCCAATTCCTGCAGCTCGTCGTCGATCTCAGTCTCATCAATCTGTGGACCAGCCTCGTTCATGATGTTTCCGACCTCGTCCACCTTGGACATCTCATCACGCAGCTCTTGCACCACATCTTCGACCCTCTCCGCACCGCCGATCTGAGTATGCAAGCCTCGAAGGGCTCCTGTGCTTGCCTCCATGACCTTCACGAATTGCACTTGATCCGTAGCCTGCTCGATTTTGGAATATACCTCCTCAAGCTGCATCAGAGTATCCAGTCTCTGTTTCAGATTATGCTCCGCAAGCTTCTTAGAGCGCACAGCCGAGAGCGCCGAAACGCGGTTCTTGTTTTGCAGCGCCATTTTGGCAGTTGAATTCAGTTCAGTGATTTTGTTCTCCAGATTCTCCACCTGCTTGGTCATAGTCGCCATGAGCGTTTTGATAGAGGCGACGGCGGTATCTTGCTCTGTGATATCTTTTGGAGCGTCACTGGTTCTGAATTTGATAGTCTGCAGCATAGTTAGCGCCTTGCATGGGATAGATAAAAAGCGCAAATATATGAATGAGATAATACATGCCTTCCCATCATACGCAATAGCACCGCTATCACGCGACATATACAGTAAAAGCACATCCATATCCGCGTCCGACAGGAGACTCCTTTCATCCAGAACACCAGCGAATTCACTCACGAAGCTCTCCTTCGAGTAGACCAAGTCAGTCTTCGACGGACTATTCCCCGTAGCGTGCTTAACTACGCGGTCTGCAGCCTCCTATAAACATACCTCATTAGCCTTACCCACACCAACCATCAATGGAAATCCAAACCAATCTACCTACCTTCAGATTCTCTACCAAAACCAACTCCTGAGGCTGTAATCTCGGCGTCGCCTCCTCAGATCCAATCACAGCCCCTTTCAACTGCTTCATCCCCCAGCTCATCACAGCCCATGGGCTCAACACAGATGTATCAATCCCCCACTGCGGCTTACGCAAGCTCGCCGGGTTAGTTCGATAAAGGTGCAGCGGCACCATGGTTCGATTCCTTGTCGCTTCATCCTGTATCACATCAGAGCCACAATTAGTCAATATGAACGCCGCATTTTCTCATGTATCCTTTTCATTGTGACGTACGAAAACTGCTCCCAGCGCAACAGGTCGTCCACACTCCGGGATCTCCAGATCACGTAGCAAGGATTCATCAGCTCTGAGAATCAAGTGGTTCGCTTTGCCCTTCGAGGCAGGCCCATGTGGAGCGATGTAGCCGTGCTTTGCGGCGGAGGTTAGGGCATGTGCCCAGGCTGTGATGTTGGTGGTGTATCCCTCGGGGTTGGTCTTGCGGTGGATGGGGAAGTCGGAGTAGAGGGAGGGGAGGCGGTTTCTATTGTGTGAAGGTATGTTAGTAAGAACAATTCAAGAGTGGGGACAGAACTGAGGCTGGACGGACTTTCTGAAGGAGTCCTGCGAGAGGATATATTGAAGGAGGGTCGTCATTGTGGTTGTTGTGGTGAGTGGTAGATGAGTATGTAGAGTGAGACAGTAAGAAAAGGGATGTAGATATGTCTATAATGTGGTCTATAATCAGTATTCGCAATACAGGAAGTGTACACCTCGTCGGTGTAGGCTGGATAGCCCCCGTGCGTGCGTGGTGCTACTGAGGTAGTATCGGGATGACTATCTGATGTCAATAAATGGGCCACTTCGTCCTTAGCGCTGGTTGTCGGGGAAGGTCGCCTTATCGATAAGATTGTATCACGTGAGTTGGTCTTCTCCGACGGGCTCAGCGATGATTTTCTGCCACCGCCTAAACGTACAGTTTTCCGGCCGTTGCTTTTAAGGACTGTATATTCCAAAATCCGCTTAAATCCGAGATTTTAACAGCGTGTTGGTGTTTGTTCATATTTATTAGTAAATTTCTGATTTACTAGAATAGCAGCAAATCAAAGTTCTTTATCAAAATATTAAAAAATATTAAAAGTAATATTATTATTAGTAAAATAAAATTAAATTAAATAACTTGGTCTAAATCATAAAGCCATAACATAAGCTACATTAATTACAGCTACTGGTACTAAGTATTCAAAACCTTGAAAACCGTGCATAAATAAAACTGTAGATGTTGTAAGGAGCTTGAGCAGAGGGTTCTGCGTTTTGATTGCAAATTGAAATAAAGGCTGCAGAGAATACAAATAATAATAAACTAGGTACTAATAATCAGAAACTAATATTATTTAATCTAGGGAATGCCATATCAGGACCTCCTACTAATAATGGTAATAAGAAATTACCGAATCCTCATCTTAAAATAGCATAGAAAGGTAAAAGATATTTAGGTCAAGATTCTTCTAATGATAGAAATTCTTCTAATAATAGAAGAGATTCTAATGATAGAAGACCTAACATAATTTCTATTGATATTAACATTAATATGATATTTTTTCTATTTAAAACAAAACCGAGGTTCGTTAGGTTCTGCCGCTTTGAGCGGTCTGCGAGGCGGTAAGAGTCTACCATCACAGTACTACGGATATGTTTAGGACTACAGTTAAGTGATGAATGCAACTTAAGCGTAAACACGTAGAGAAACATTAATTGACACATGTCTATTATATTTGTATGAACCTATGCGCCCGTCGCACCATAATTGCGTCCCTAAGCTCGTTCGAAGTCGTCATTGGCTGCATTGTCATCATCTCTCGTGCCTTGCGCCGGACCAAGACCGCCCGAGTCCAATGGATTCGAGATCAAAGACTTGCGATTCATGCGTCGGTCCAGCTTCTCGCTGATTTCTTCCGTGCCCAGTGCTTCAGCAGTGGCTGCCTCATCCCTCGTATCTAGCCCCCGGGCTTCAAGGTACTCGACCTTGACAGCGTGTCGCAGGTTGTCAACAAATGTCTGCATCTCGGGCATCGGAAATCCTCCATCACTATCCAATACATCTGCATATAGCCGCTCCGCCTCCTCGAGAGCTGCCGATGCTAGTGATGGCTTTCCCAGACGAAGCCACGTATCGGCGGCAAATACACTCCACATTCCAGCTTTCCTACGTCGAGAGCCCCATTTCATTCCGCTCACCGGTGATCTCGCCGCATAGCATGCCGACACACGCTCACTGAATAGGCCCTGACCGATAGATCCCACTAGCCCAAGGTCCATGGCCCGCATGGCCCATCGAGCGGCGCTTTCCACTGCCGAACCCCCGCGAGACTTCAACAACTCCATAGCTAACGTTAGGCAACGAAGTGCATTAGGTGCGTCCGAGCACCTTGTAAGATACGAATAACATGCCGTGTCGAACATCTGATCGATTCCGTCGAGCTTGACCTTGGTCCCCATTGCGGCAGGGTTAAGAAGCATGCTGACGGCACACATCTCGTAGGCACCCGCATGATATTTCCAAGCCTTGTCGTTCGCATAGTCCGACCGAAGAAGCTCGTACGTAGATGCTGACAACTTCCAGTCGCGGAGCATGAACGCGAAATCAGCCATTTTGCGCAGCAGAGCTTCAGGCGTGTCTGGTCTATAATAACCGTGGGCGACATCGTAGTTTCCGCTAGCCCCTCCCGATGTAAGACTGGAACGAGAGCCAGTTCCGAATCCGGCCCATCTCCGTGACATTGACATGAATCGACCACTGATACCACGCCTACGGGAGGCCACCTGGTCATTCCAGACAGCGACTCGGTTTTCCATGAATGGTATTACGGACTGCGCAACTAGCTCTCGAATAAAGGCTTTGATTGCCATAATATCGGAGTCGAAAAGGTAAAGACCATTAGTATCCAGGTCAACCAAAGGCTCTGTTGTTCGTTAGTGCTTGCGGGAATGTAAATGCAGGGGTCTAGTCGTACCAGCTCCACCCGAAAGTCGCTCTGGAGGCGAGAGCCACTCGCACTCAGGAACTCGGACACTATCATCATCGGTAACTACGCACTGATTGCTGCGCAGCCTCAACAAGTGACAATGCAACCCGAAATGACGCTTCATTTGGTCGTAAAGCTTGGTTGATTCGGCAATATCATCCCGATCCTCGTCATGCACGAGCACGTAGTACCGGAGGTATTCAGGGTGACACCAGTCTGGCAACCTCCGAGGCCCATTGCTCGTATCCGCATACAGTTGCCTGAGAGTTTCAAGCGGGGCAGTATTGCGTGAGCTAATAGCAATGACGCTGGCCACTGGATGTCGAAAGGTTTCATGCGGCGTTGCCGAAGATATCGACAGAAGGTGTCGAAGATATACTTTGTATAAAGGGGATGTTGTAGGAAAACTCAAGAAATTTATGGGCCGCATTGATCCGCCCAGCGGATCATCTGTCGAGCCCAATTGCTTCTCCAAGACTTCTTCCACCTGTGCCAGGGAGGGGCTTCGCCCTGAGTTCGAGTTGGTAGGGGGCGAGATGTTGCTGGCCAAGTTCACGAAGCGAACCCCGTAGTCTTCCCAGCCACGACTCGACCCCACGCTGTCCCTAATGACCAACTTGCCTGGTACATTCTCGCCGAAAGGGCGAATCAATTCCCAGAACCCACCAGCGAAGCCTTTCTGTCGCACCAACTCATCGGTGTCCGCTGATGCGTATACCCCAACCACGGGGGAGAACGAGCGTATGATTAAAGATCGAATTTCCTCTGCGCCATCGAAACGACCTTCTACCGGCGATCCCAGGGATGATCGAGCTAATTGTGGAGTCGACGATCGGAAAGAAGGAGCACGAGGTGATGCGGACCTAATCGGAAGTTCTGCCGTCGTGGCCGTCAGGGGCGGGGTCGGGGATCGGATCCTCGAGTCTACCAGGTCTGCATCAAGGGCCGGTGACGAGTCGCGGCGCTGATTTGGATATCTCGACTTGGATGCGACACGTGGTACGCCGGGCGAGAATGACGGCGGAGGCTTGACCGGAGCCGCATCTCCGGGCGATGTCATGGACTCCGAGTGGCGTGAGATGCGCTGTTAACAAGAATAGAAATGACCCTAGAGCCCATGGACCGGGTGGGGAGTGATCCCACAGGAGAGAGATAGAGATAGGGGTGATGTGGTGAGGTTTGAAGCGGATTGTCAGGAGAAACGGAATGACGGGAGGAATCCGGCAATGTTGTAGGGATGCGTTGAAGCCAAGTCACCGCGGGCGAATCCCAGAGCGCAAGTCGGGCGAACAGCTCCGTTGGGCTAATGCGTCCCTCGCGGCAGCTAATGTCGGGGGGCAGGAAGATGGTGATGCACTCTTTTGACCACTGCTTTTCGGGATATATAGATACTGAAGTAAATCAGGAAAGCAGACTGGTTTACCAGTAGGCTGCCATCGAACGGAGAGCTGCGACCAGCTTCATTGTTAATGGATTGAGTTGTTGACAGCCCGGAAGGCGGTGATGATCCTCCACTTGATCTGCCGGGCAATTAATTGTTCAGGCGCTGCTGTTGATCCCCTCCACTCTCCCTGCGATGCGCTCTGCTTCTAACTGTGACACAAGGCTGACCCTTTCATGAGTCATTAGAGTACAATCACTCGTCAGCCCATTTGACTCATCCTGGGATGGCTGCTACCCATGCTCAGAACATCCCTCTTCTTCCTGCCTCTCAAGCGCCGCCTACTCCGCCTGACCGTCCCTCTCTCTCCGCCAACTGATGGTTCCGCCGCGACTGAATCTCTTTTTCTTCGCAGAATTTCCCCGTTGATACCCCGTGCTTGTATTCATACCCTCAGGTCTACATCTGTACCGCACAGCTCTTCCATGAGCCGTCGGAGATCCTCCAGCCTCTCCCCTCAGCGAACGAACAAAAGGCGACGCATACCTGAAGCTGCCCCGCATCAGGGCGCTGCAGGAGACACCATGGCTCAATCCGCGGACACCCTTCCCATCATTAGACTTACCCCTCTCGAATCGACATTAAAATCGCTCTTACTCGATGTTGCGAAATACATACATGAAAAGAATGTTGCAGAAGGACGCCGCGATGCGGAGCCCACGGTTCTGCGATTTACCGGAGGATGGGTGCGGGACAAGCTGTTAGGGGTGGGCAGTAATGATGTTGACGTCGGTATTAACAATATGACGGGGTATCAGTTTGGTTTGCTCCTCAAGGAGTATATGGATAGACCAGAAAACTTGGAGAAGTACAGACAAGAGCAGCCCAATGGAGAGTTGAAGCATGCGATTGCTAGCCTACATAAAATCGAGGCGAACCCAGAGAAGTCCAAACACCTGGAGACAGTCACAACAAGAATATTCGGCTTGGATATTGATTTGGTGAATCTACGGAAGGAGACTTACTCGGAAGATAGCAGAAATCCACAGATGGAATTTGGAACAGCCCAGGAAGACGCGATGCGTCGCGATGCGACGATCAATGCGCTTTTCTATAACTTAAACGAATCTATAGTCGAGGATTTCACTGGACGAGGTCTGGAGGATATGAAGAAGGAGATTATCCGTACCCCGATGGAACCATATCAAACCTTTCAGGACGATCCACTGCGTGTGCTACGCTTGATTCGGTTTGCCAGCCGATTGGGTTACAATATTGAAAGGGAGACCCAGGAGGCAATGCGAAATGAACTTATTGGGGAGGCTCTCAAGCTGAAGATCAGCAGAGAACGGGTGGGTAAGGAGATAGAGAAGATGCTTCAAGGTGTGTAGCGTCCAAGTGAGGATTGATTGTTGCTTACAGTTTCTAGGTCCTGATCCCCGCGGTGCACTGCAATTCATTGATAGTCTTGGGCTGTACCCGACTATCTTTGCCAATCATCAGGATGATGCGCAAGCAGATACCTCATCATGGGCACTTGCATACAATGCGCTGGAGAAAATTCTGAAAGACGAAACCAACGCAGCTACTGTAAATGTTCGCCAATTCCTCATACGCGACAAACTCGAATCATACTACGCATGGGTGATTGCAGCATTTGCTCCGTGGTCAAGTATCCCGTCCCGCGTTGCGAGGGGACCCAAGGCGAAACCTCTCCCGGCACGGACCGCAGAAGTAGCCCGAGACAGCCTGCGAGCTGATAACAAAACCATCGCCGTCATCGGTGATGCGGCACACAACTGGCAGGCCATCACCGATGTCAAGAACTCTGTCCTCGAGGGACGCATGGATGGCACTGCAGCAGAGGCGCGGCAGCAGGTCGGACTGCACATTCGCTCGTGGAAGAAGGATTGGAGGCTCTGTATACTCCTTTCCATTCTCCAAGAAATTATGCGTGGCGGCGAGTTTACTAGCGGTAAGGATTTTTCCGTGCCCGTTGTCCTTAAAAGGAACTGATGCTTACATGATGGCAGTGCTGCAATCGTACGACCGGTTCCTCTCCTACATCAAAGAGCAAGATCTACAGGATGCATTTGAGCTGAAGCCCCTCGCCAACGGCGGAGAGATTGTGAAGGCTCTTGGTTGCAAGACTGGTCCCTGGATGTCGAAAGCTTTGGATATGTCGATCAAATGGCAGCTGTTGCACCCGGAGGTTACCGACAAGGAAAAGGTGCTGGAAGAGCTATCCCGTAGAAAAGAAGAGCTAGGCATCGCTACATAGTAATAGAAATTAACATGGCTGCTTCTTGGATGATGATTTCCTTTTTACCTACTGTAACTGGTCCAATAATCTCTAGATGCCTGATTGGGACACTGTAGGGCCATTGTTCGGTTCCCGTCTCTTACCGCTCGGTAAATTTGCCCGACGGCGATGGATCTCCGACTAAACTGCCCCAATCTAACTTTCTATGGACATTTTGTTCTCCGCCCCGCGAACATCATTCTTAAGTAGATAGTGGGGTAATTGGGCATGTCAGTGGAAGACCTACGAACGGCGGCGCGTGAGTGCCTACGCCGCGGTGATGCGCGCATCCCAGACTCGATGCTGGACAAGCTCGTCGTCCCTGGAGAATTGAGGCGTTTATGGGACACCGTCTCAGCCCACGAGGACACAGACAATGCAGCTGTAAGATACGCTGCTTTTTTGATACTCCGAGAGAAGGAAATTAACTGGTCACTTCAGGCATCTGAAAACCTGTTTCTTGCTCGGGAGTTCCTGAGACTTCGAAACTCTGAGGAATTATCCGAGTCCGATACCGCGGCAGCAAACCACATCTATGCCTGGGCGAGTCGGCATGCCCTTCCATCTGCAGTGTATGCGGAATCGATTGAAGAGCCCAGTGGTGAGCTGACACCTCATTCCCCTCACGAATTCAAATATGTTGACCCGCTTGTAGAACAGAGGAAAGCTCTTATGCATGAAGATAAGCTGAGATTATCACTATCAATCTCCGTGATTGCAGCCTTGGGCTCTCTGTTTCCGATGCATAAAGCAGTAGATGTGCCAAACATCGTTCTCGCACTGGCAAGCTTCACCTCCGAAGCCGACCCATGGACGACAAACGAGTCACGCACAGCGTCAACTGCATTTCTTGAGAGGTTTCGCACAACATCACCCTCGACACCAGATGCATCGTTCTGGGTTGTCCTTGAAACAATCCTCAAGGACAAAATCCGACCTCTTTTCACAAGATCCAGAAATCCTGCTATCACAGCAGCGGGTCGCAAGGACATGCACCCCATCCCACTTCCTAGATTTGATACCAGCATTCTTGACCCCGAGTCGAAACCATGGCGATCGTCAGACGTCTACGCGACGACCGTCTTTTCCTGGATCGTAACACAATATCAGGTAAATTATCTCTCAAAGTACCCTATTCCCTCATCTTTAACAGGTTCCAGGCAAACGACATCAGCCGTCTAGAATCCCACTTCCCTCTCCTCGTCCCACCAATTCTCGCCTTAATTGACGATGAGACCAACCCCCACAAAGCCGACGGCTGCACACTTCTCACCCACCTTCTACACCCCATTCAGCAAGCCAAATCAGATATACTTAAACGCACCAACCTCTCCTCTGTCTTCATCGACGCCATCAAACCCTGCCTCCTCTCCCTACCCACCATAACCCCCGAAGCCGATTCCATCCGTCTCCTAGGCACAGCTTATCCAACTCTCTTCTTACTTCTTAAAACTAGCTACTTACCAAAGGATAAACAAACCTACACCGCCGAGCTAACGAAAGTCCTTCGCGAGAACCTCATATCCTCCTTCCACCACATTAGCACCATGACTCCCTCCAGTGGGACGCAATCTACACTATCCTCGTTCCCGCATCCGAGATTATCTACTCTTTTGTTGAACAAAATACACGACATTCTCTTCGATCTCACGGTTCACACAACAAAATACCTACAGGAAATAATTCCGCTCATCTACAGTACACTGTCTAATCCCTTCGGGACAGCCTATTCACCTCTCCTATTGGCGGGAGTGGCTGTTACCAGGGCCGTGATTCTGAATGCACACCCGAGGATTTGGCGTTGGAGAGGGGAGATTCTGGGTGCCGTGGCGGCATGCTGGATCAATGTGGCGGATGAAGAGGTCGCAGAGCGAGGGAAAGAGGGCGAAAAGGAAGACTTGACTAAACTGAAGATGCAGCTAAAGGGCGTGGTCTATTTGCTGAGAATGGCTTTGCAGAACCCAGATGAGGAGGTTGCCGAGGATGAAGGGGCGATTGAAGCGAAGGAGGGGTTCGCGAAGGAGATGGAACAGTTGGTTGGTGCTGATGAGGCATTGAGGGAATTGCTGCTTGGGAAAGTAGATGGGAAGGATGGAAGATATTTCGGTGCTTAATTCCAGTTGGGAACAGCCTCAATTGAGTTGCTGGATAATATTGGTCAGGGTTTATGAAGGATTCCCTAACAAGTACAGTAGTCCAGAACTGGGCCCTTAGTGGTAGCTTATAGTAATGGCAAACATGAGTCCAATTACATTGATATCATTCTATTACTCTTATAAGCGAATCATTACGATCCCGTCGTCAATAGCCCTTGTGTCCGCCAGCGTACCTTGTCTCATAAGTAAATGCCAACGAAAAAGATGCGAGGGAGAAGACCGCGGAAATATCTCGGCCTGCCAGTCTCATCGGGGATAGACGAGTCCAAGGAAAGACAGAAAAACGTCTATATCCTCCAATATCATTTCTCACGATCTCCTGAGGCTGGCTACCATTCTAGGTGAGAGCTACTAAGTCTCCAAATGAGACTCCGTCCATCCGTCTCAGGAAAGGGTAAGATGTAAGTGAAGGGTAAAAGACTGATACAAAATCATAGTGTGAACTCTACATAGAGCCACTAGGAGCTCAAGGTGAGACGTAGAGCAATTGTCGTCTGTGGCAGGAGCAACTGTGCATGTGAATCCTGATTTCCAGTCTCAGGCCTTGACCACTCCACTACTGCTGGATTCATTGTTATTCCTGGGCCCCGTGCTCAATTATCTGTGGAATTCCGCTGAACCCAAACCTAAACCTCAAAGAAGCTCGATGTATAGTCTTGAATAATTTGCTTTTCCGTGATTTGATTCAACTCATCGAATAGTATCTCGTCATATGTGATCTCGAAGAAATGGCTTTCATCTTATATATACTTGATAGCTTCAGATCTGTATATCAGACTGTCCAGGGGACGTTGTCCATAAGTCGTTATAGCCGGACACCACCGGAACCTTCGCCAGCTCTCCTGCCATTAAGTAAACTCCCCTGATGAACACCATCCTGAACATCTAGATAGATCATACATACAGTCCAGTCAGTCACTACCTTTGTCTTGGAATTCGGCCTTGGTATAAATTTGGACTCGAGTCCAAGTGTTACACTCGGTACAACAGGAAATCGCATCGTATATGGTTTCCAGAACTGACTTTACCCAGAACCACTGATACATCATCTCAGCATATAGAACCACTATGACATTCACTGCAGTCCCACTTGCTACCATAATACATTGCCCTACAATCAGCCCCGATGCTGCTAGCAAGTAACACACTCCTTACCATAATCATGCCTCTTCTATATCTTTCATCATCGAGACCCTCCCTCTCCTCTACCAACTCAACTTCCCCCCTTCCATCAATCTCATATCTCCTTTCTTGAAGAAACACAGAAACATTACCAAATGCAAGAACCACAACAACCAGCACCAATCATGTTCCGCATCTTTAACTATCCCCAACCTCAACCTCATCTCTCAACCTCACCACCAACCCACCACAATCCTAGTCCAATCCCCGACATCCGGGTCGAAATCCCCTCAGAGCGTACTAAAAACCCCCCTTCCCCAATTCCTACTCAAACCAATCAACTAATCAAACCCAGGCCTCCCTGGTATCACCTACGACGACCTCCCCCTCCTCGGCGCACGCCCCAGCTCTTCAATGCTCGAGTACCATCAACTGCCCGCCCTCAGACACTTAGACTGGCGCATCGACGACGAAACCGGCGAGCCCCTCCGCCGCCCGCTCAAGGACGTCGTATCATTGACTGCGGCGTTCGCGCAGACTCGGGGATGCGAGCCGTTGGAGCCGTGCGTTCATTGCCGGGTGGGTAAGAGCGTGTGGAAGACGTGCGTGGTGGGGTTCGATACGAGGGAGGGGATGGGTGTGCATGGCGCTTGTGCGGCGTGTCGGTTTAGTAGGAGGGGGTGTAGTCTTAGTAAGTACTTATTCATGTTTTTTCTCGGGAGGTGTGGAAGCTGATTATTATGTGTCTGTGTGTGCTGTGCCAGATACGCAGCTTGAAGAACCTGAGACACCGAGTCGGGTGAAGGATGAGATTGAGAGTGAAGGCGGAGCTGGAGCAGGACCTATGACTCCGCCGCCGTTTGGTTCCAGAAGGTATTTGACTGCTGTGCCTGTTGCTGCCGCTGCTGGTCGTGGTCGCGGTCGTGGTGGTAGTCGGAGACGAGGGAGCAGATTTACTCGGCAGAGGCCGTATAATCTGAGACCGAGGATTGCGACACTGACTCCTAGCAGAAGCGACATGGGCTATAACAGTCATTTAGAGCGTGGTTCGGAGCGGCGAATCAAATCAGAAAAAAGCGATCTGCTCACCTCCTCACCCGGTACTTCTCGTCTTGATGGGAGTATTCTTCCCTTTCCGCTGGGACCAGAGACGATTGATGACTTGCCGTTCCTGAGACAGGCTGTTACAGAGATGGAGATGCATTTGGGGATTTTGAGGAGGAGGGTGAGGCAGTTAGAGGATCGGGAGAGAGTGAGGAATAATAGTATTGATCCATGGGAGTTGGTGTGATCTGAAGAGTGTCAGGACGTTCTGATTTATGTTGTTGATGGCTTGGTATCTGGGATGATGGTGCTGGAGTTATGGTGCATGGATTGGTTGAGATAGAGTTGGGCGTTTGTGTACACTGCTAGTGGTGTTTTTAGCACAGTGTCGAGGAGGGATGGTTTGAAGGTCTATGGAAGTTAGCATTCGATGGAAAGAAACTGTGATTTATCGAAAAGGCGTGTTTATGGAAGTGATGAAGAGGGCATACCAAGCACCACGAGGCTACATCAAGTATCTATAAGGAATTGAAAAGGAGACAAAGCACTACATCTGACATGATACGGCCGTAAAATTCTATAATCATTATATACAAAGGCTTTTATGAGCCACGAGACGAAGTATACACCTTCTGAGGGTGCAGAAAGCCACCAGGGCCATGTACATGGGGCTCCAGCCTCGGTCTCAATCCCTCCGAAGACGAAGGCAGCATATCAAAGCCCTGCGTACTCAGTGACTCCTGAGTGTTGACCTTCTTGACAACATTCACCAGTCGACCCAGGATAGCGTACTCCAGCTTCAGCTTAATGCTATAAGCGACGGGCTTGAACATGACCTGCAAGGCATAGTAGCCCGCATACTGAATGCCGACGACGGCAACATCAAGGATCAAGACCAGGATATTGATCCCGATCAGCTGCGCCAGGATACGACGATGTCGGTCTTCAGGTCGAAGTCGTAGCAGTTTCGCTGCCTCCCATACATACAGACCCGACAGGAGACCTTCTTGGAGACAGAAGCCGACGAGCTGGATCCGCTCCATGATATTGTACCCGTAATTGAAGAGTTCCCACTGCGTGGAAACGGTGCCGTATAAGAGAACGGTTATGGGGATTTGGAGGAGGATGTCGTCCAGGATGATTAGACGGAGAAGATAGCGAAGGGTTGTGGGGTCCTGGAGAACCAGATGGAGACGGGACCAGAGCACGAGTGAGTGGCCGGTTATCATGCCGCACCAGCCGACCATGATAAGAGTGGTGGAACCGTAGGGGGATATTTGGGGTCGGGAGAAGAGGAGAATATACCCGACGCACTGCGGGACGATGCTTAGGGAGGCAACGAGAAGGGACCAGAAGTAAAGGCTCCCTCGGCGTTTGAAGGTCGAGAGACAGAGAATGACGAGTTCAATGGCATTATAGCAGGCGATGGCGGCAAAGGCCGTGAAGACGTGGACTTGGTGGGAGTCTCGGTATATGTCGGGAAGAAGGCGCCCTGAAGGGGTGTCGCGTTTGAGGAGCATGGGTGAGGGGAACACATGGTTGACAAGATGGGCATGTCATGGTGAGGGGGGGGAGGGGTTTAGTGGGTTATTTATTCAAAGTCGCCCAGGGTCGCCACCCACAGGGTCCAAGAAGAAGACGATCTGGACGTGGATGCGAGGACAATGTGGCCAACAAGGCCGCTCAGGCCTCCGATTTGCTCCCCATGGCCAGGATGGCGCAAGTGGGAACATATGCAGGGGAGAGTGCGGATGCGGAGAAAGACTGAAGGATCGCTGAATGAAGCACGATTAAGGATATGAACGGCAGAGGATCGCCTCACTGGCATCAGGGGGTTCCTGAAGCAAGGGCATTATTAGCTCATGGATACGAGGTCTACGCGTGGTCGAGCATCTGACGGAGAAGTTAGCCGATCGACTATCGAAGTTTGCTGACAGGGACAAACCGGGGGAACACGCGGGAGGTCGATCACTTGCGGATATTAAACTAGCCCACTACAAGGTGGATCTTGATTCAATAGTAGATCCATATCCTCATCAGCGACTTGCCCGCCCTCCACAGTGTATTTCGTCAGCGCTGTTCTGGAAGCCTGTGCATTGACCACTTGGGCTGCTTCCCCCCGGGAGGCGAGAAGTGGCGCCCCATTGTCGGGGTCATACCTCACTCACCACTTTTTGTCAAAAGAAGATTGTTGATCTGATCTGTCCGCCGGTGAATGTTAATGTTCTTAATTTGACAATTGCGGAATCTAAACCATCTTTGGAAACTGTGAATTATCATTTCAGCGCCCTGGGCAGTAGGTAGCCCTGTAAGATAGGCGCTAAATAGTGTGATATGTCATGGGTATTGTGGGAGGACTCCTTTATCCAGACAAATAGACTAAAGAGGGATCCTAGATATCGAATGGCCATATGGATCTAAGTGTCTCTTCGTCCTTCACAGGCTCATAAGGATCATCAATGTCTGGATTAGTCAATACAGCCTGCAGCATTCCCCCAAACATCTCATGATGCGCTGTCTGCGCCGCCTCCCAGTCACTCGTTGGCACCCAGCCATCAGTGGCAGTGTTGAGCAAGCCTGCCAGATCATAACGCAGGTTATGCGCTGCCTCGAAAAGTCTATACTTCTTCTGATGATCTGCGAGTTCAGGCGGTGGAGGTAATGCGTAAGGACATCGCCCTGCAAACCCTAGCCTTCCCCAATTTCGAGATGTGTCAAGTAAGTCGTGGTGTAGTGCCACAGCGCCATCCTTCCATGTCCTGTAACTGTAGCGAAATGGTCGAAATAGGTTTTGGTCCATCAATCTCGGTTTTGAGAGTGTGGGTATGAGAAATTGGGCGCAGACATCAAATGCTCTGGTGCAGACCTCGTTCTCCGTTGCAAAGTCAGGAATCTCATCCGCATACCAAAATGCTGGCTCGATGCTAGCATCTTGCCAGTCAATGATACCAGTTATCACAGAAGGATCATCCTCTGAAACAAAATGTTCCTCTTGTGGAGGTCCGGGTGGAACAACACCGGTGTTGCACACTCTCTTATCCGAGAATCCTGAGACATACATCTCAATAGAGTTCGTGTATGAGCTAGAAGGATTTTATGTGTTTCGACTGAGCCGTGATACATCGGCCGCATTCTCCTTCCTAGATCAACAGTGGGAAGCCTCGACAGACCAGCATCAACAAGGCCATCACAGTACTGCTGAAGATTGATCCCTACCCCTGGTTAGTCATAAGTCATGACATAGACTTTGGCTTGAGTAACTTACAGGGCCCCCGGTTTGGGTTAAGATCTTGTGAAGCTGTAAAGTTCCAGTATCTGGTCTCGCAATGTGGCCCGATACAGAAGTCTCCATCAAGCGGATGCCTATTGTCAGGGCATACGGGACTGTGTATAGAATACAGACTCCCAAAGCACGGAAACTGCAGGTCAACCACTTCTTTAAGCTTCCGGTAGATTGCGTCTATGCATTTGACACGCTGCTTATCAGACATTTCATGCCATTTCTTATGCAATTGAACACCATTTGCATGCTCCATGATGATGTATTCGCTGCCAATGGGATTATTGATGCTCGTGGCATCGTCACTCCAGTCAAGAATTCTGGGTATAGGAACTGTAGTATTGGCTTGCACTGAAGGAGAGTGCATGTTTAGCTAGTGAAGCAAGCTTATGATAGCAAGGGCTTACAGTATTTAGTAGTAGCGATCTCAGAGCTGGTGGTTAGCCGCGATGGACCAGCCAGCGCGAATGGGAGTTTCGCCACCAGTCGTGTATCATTATCAAGCTCAAAGACAAAGACTCTATTGAAGCCCCCTTCAATCTTCTGACAGTCTATGATGGAACTTGCCTTGGGCGACAGATCAAGGATCTTGCGACAGAGGGCATCAAAGTCAAACTTGATGTAACGAGAGGCTCGCTCTTCCTTGTCGTCACGAAGCCAGTGTCCGCTAGTGTAATTATAGGGATCGTAACCCATGCGCACACCATTGAAATTGGAATGATTATGAGCGGGGGCAATTGGGAAGGCGTCACAAGCTGAGGTGGAGTACACTGCGTGATTTATCTGGAATATTCCAGTGGCCAATAAGTGAAGACTTAATGGTTCATGCGGCCATCTTAAATATTTCATTGAGAGAGAGGAAGGCGATGATCGACGCGTGGCGCGAGCACGTACCAACGTTCGGGCCCATTGCTGTGTCATCTTGCTAGGAGCTGAGCAGAAAATGAAGGAGGTACAAATTAAAGAACCATTATAATTACCGACGCGTACAATGAATGATCATTGACTACTGTATATACAGGTCTTGATGCCAGGGGGGGAGAACGTAACAGGAGCAGCGGAGACGCCAGTGGAGCGCGCGGCCGGCCCCGCCTACGGAAGCCTATCCGGCCGGCCAAGATGAGGACTATATTGACAGGCAAAGGCTTCAGTTCACTGATAGCTGTAGAATCAATTTATCCGTTGGCAGTCATGGCTAGAGTCCTTTCAGGCACTCAACTGTGCCTCTTGAATTCAATGTCGCCTCGTAGAGCATGACGGTGGAAGAAGGCCTAGCTCCATCGTAGTTATGAGAAATGATGCAAGCGTATCCGACGTAGATCACAAACTATAACCATCCGCCTGAATGGACGTCGGAGAGCATCCCAATAAAAAAAGGCCGAATTTTAATGTCTTCCCCGGCCCGGTGAATCCAAGCCATGTCAAATGATGAATATATTTCTGTTCGACCCTGCTCGTTGGTAGTAGTGCTACCCATCCAGCCAGCCGCAAGGACCCTAGTCCACATTATTATAGTGTCAAGCAATATGCGTATGCATGTGAAGTCCAGGAGTAGTGAGTGTCAGTAATCCCACAGTTCCGAGCATCTGGGATAACATACCCCGCTCGATAAGGTAGTACTTTCCGTAGCCTTGATAGAGTGCCTGGTAGTAAGCAAGGGTGCTCGCTTTGCTCCTTATCGGTGTCCTACCGACAGCATCATGCATCCTGATAGGCACACTCCTCCGATCGGACTCAACGTGGTGGCCTGCCTTGAAGACACGTTAATAGTCCACCCCATCCTCCCAGGCTGCCTTGCGGCCCGGCCCCCCCTTTGGGGTATCCCTGACTTCTCGGTCATCATCACTATTAAAAATTACGACCTCTCGTTCTAGTATCGGCCCTTACACCTTAGCCTACTGCATCATGGCATCCATGAACCAAGTTCTTACTGAATATGCCACTCGCCGCGCGACACTAGAAGCCAGTAAAAACCCCTACGCCAAGGGAATCGCCTGGGTTGAAGGGCAACTCGTCCCCCTCAGGGAGGCCCGCATCCCCCTAATTGATCAAGGCTTTTTACGCAGTGATTTAACCTACGATGTCATCTCCGTCTGGGATGGCTGGTTCTTTCGCCTAGATGACCACCTTTCCCGACTTGAATTGGCCTGCGCGAAATCGCGTCTCAAGTTGCCCATTTCCCGCGATGAAGTGAAACAATCCCTGGTTAGGATGGTCGCTCAAAGTGGTATTCGAGATGCATATGTGGCTTTGATTGTGACGCGGGGATTGCAGAGTGTTCGCGGTGCCAAGCCGGAGGACTTGGTGAACAACCTGTACATGTTTGTACAACCCTATGTATGGGTAATGGAACCAGAGGTCCAACGGGTCGGTGGAAGTGCTGTTGTTACTCGAACTGTTCGTCGGGTGCCCCCAGGAGCTATTTATCCTACTGTAAAGAACCTACAATGGGGTGACCTGACCCGAGGTATGCTCGAGGCCGCCGATCGAGGCTCCATGTACCCGTTCCTGACGGATGGAGATGGCCATCTCACCGAGGGGTCCGGATACAATATCGTTCTAATCAAGGCCGGTGCCATTTATACGCCTGATCGCGGCGTGCTGCATGGTGTCACCAGGACAAGTGTCATTGATGTTGCACGAGCTTGTGGTATCCAAGTTCATCTCGAAGCTGTGCCGGTGGAGTTGGTATATCAGTGTGATGAGATATTCATGTGCACAACAGCAGGTGGAATCATGCCCATCACTGAGCTGGATGGCAAGCCTGTAAATGGGGGGCGGATTGGTCCGATCACGAAGAAGATCTGGGACGGGTATTGGGGTATGCATTATGATCCAGCCTACAGCTTCGCAGTTAGTTATGATGACGGATCAAAAGCAAAGCTCTGAGTGTAGAGAAGTGGCAAAGGCTGAGATTCGGATGTTGCATACCCGTAACAAGGGTGACTATCTGGCACCCTTCTGTCGTGGTCTTGTAGATCCCTGTGAAGCCTCGGCCTCCGTGTGTCTATAGTAGATAAGAATTCCACTCCTGGCATGATATAGTCATTTTCAATGATCAAACATTGTCCCGACCGAGGATCTGGAAAAGTCCCCAGGGAGGCGATGACTGCTTGAGACGACCGAGCCAGCTGTAAATCACTACCATTGCTTGTCTCCGGGATAGATATAATAACTTTTCAGGGATTCCATGTCAACAGTTTGTGATGAGAATTAATAGTATGATAATGCTCGCCCAGCAAAAGAAACGGACTCAAGTAGATCGATCCAGAATCTTTGGATATCCGAGCGGGAAAGACGGAAGACGGCGCTCACCCATTATGACTCCAAAGCTATTGACTCGATATACTTGCTATAGCGACTCATGTGAGGACACATTGACTAGACAAATCAGAGCACATCCACATTGAATATTACCATGATAATCAGACAACTCCAAAGGAGGGCCCTGGTCCATCCAGACTTAATCTGGTCTCGTATATGTTGAAGGAAAGGAACCGGTAGTTATCGGGAAAGATGACGAGGCCAGTAAGAGCTAAGAAGGTTTCTTTGTTTGCCCACAACAGTGTTTGGCCAGCTGCTCGCTTGCCTCATGTCATTCCCGGATTAGTGCTATTTTTCCTATTAATAACTCACTTCCTCTCCCCTTAACGAATCAACCGACTATTTCCTACCGTCTTTACCATTCCAAACATTGAAGGCTTAGAGGTGGCAGGTCTGGCTAATAATGCGATTGGCAAGCACCGTGGAGCCTCGCCAATTGTCCGATACTATATATTATCATACTATAGAGTATAAGAGGTAGTAGTTTCCCAACTATACTATTGCTTAAGTGTCCATGTTTCTCAGCAGTGACTCCGTTGGGCGGTAGCAGGATTGCTAGGTATCTATGTCAGTATCAAGATTGTTCCTCTAATTCTCGCTTAAAAATAGGGAATTCATCCCAACTCGCATCTCGTTTGTTCCGACTGCCCTCTTTGCCGTTGTCCATGAACGATCCGCATAGCTGACCAGAAAGGCATGGGGGAAACCGCACATTGAAAAAAATAATGTGACACGGTTCCGAATCTGGTATATATGAATTCAACTAAGCCAGGATATAAAGATCACGAATACGCTAGTAGCTGTCTGTTTAGTCCCAAGATACTGCGTGTGTCATATTCCGGATGGCGGAGATGGAGGGAGTAAAACAAGGAGGAAGTGGAAAGAGACGACAAGAGCAGGTGACTTTAGTTTCTCGTCCTCGCCTCCCTCCTTTCCGCTCTATCAACTCACTTGTCCCTCGACTCATTTCCCACGTCATATCATCCTGTGCATGGATTAGAAATTGAATTATTCCTTTCCCGTTTACCTTCATCAACAGGGATGAACAAAGTCCGAAATTGCTGACCATTCCGGCCGAACGTGAACACGAATCAACATCGGGAAAGACTATAAGAGAGATATTATAGTGCGTTCTTTTGTCGCCCTGCCAGAATCCCGTGGAAGAAAACGGTAGACGGTCTGTCAAAAGCAAGAAACGCGTATCCCTTGACGACTTGATGTGTGAAGATTTCAGGATTCTCTGCAAGGAGAATCATCACTAGAGCGTGTTGGTCGTCTGTCTTGATGATTATCCGGTCCGCCTTTTCCTTTGCCTTTTTTTTTTTTTTTTTTTTTTTTTTTGGTTCCGCTTCTTCGTGGTGCCTTTTTTCTTTTTCTCTTCGCGCAAGACATACATAAGCGCGGCACTAGGACTAGTTTGCGTGGCCTAAGGCGCTGGATCGCTTGCTGACAGGGTCTCTGTCGTTTCTTAAGCTTGCCTCTGCGAAGCTGTACGCCGTCTGTTGATGAACCGGCTTAGACGCATCAGATGGAAATATCATGGAATTGTCCAGCAGGGATACTGGGCAACTCTCATACCCCATAGTATTGCATTCGCGACTGACCATGCAGCTGCTGTCCATCCCCAGCTTCGATCGCACCAACCGGAAAGCGAAGCATCACCACCGCTTTTCGAGCCTGTCGCACGACGCTAAAACCGCCGATCCCTGCAAGATCCCCAACTGCCTGAGAGGGGGTGTCTGCCCTCGCCCCTTTAGGACCCCAATGAATCCCGCCCTCAACGAGCCTGCATTTGCTCGAGCCATAATCACACAGGCCTAGGCAGCCAGGACACGTCGGGAGCCTTCTGTCCGGTAATCGCTGTGTACCGAAATACCGAGGAGCGTGGTGAGAGACATTGGTTTTGCTCAATTGATTACTCGCGCGGTACGGAGTAGACTATTTTCTTTCTGTTTTGGATGGGGTGATAGGTCACAAGGATACTCTGGTGCAACGTCCGTTATCGCATCATCATCCGTTTGGTCTGGTTGTTGCGACCTCCATCACAACCCCCTGCACCAAAGGTGGAGAGCGGGAACATAACGACCAGGAAAGAGCCAGGAGGACCAAACCCCGGCGAGCGTTCAGCTGAGGTACGGAAGAACGGAGTGCGCCTCTGCCTTATCCGCGCGGTCACAAATAAAAAGGCGGACAGCCGACAGGGCCCTAGCATGAAATCTGACAGGCCGGCATGAAATTAGCGTTCAAGAAGCCACGGGTCTAGGATCATTCGGAACCAAGACAGGTCGGAATAAGGTGCACAAAAGTCTCCCGCCAAAGCGATGGTCTCTGAACATCGTCATTATCCTGGTGTAAGCCACCACTCAAAAGTGTCTCTATGATCCCTTACTAGCCGGAGCTACAAGTCCAATTCAGAGACCCCCCGAGTTTTAATGAGTGTCACAATAGACTTTGTTCGCCCATCAGCGATTTAGCAACCTGCGTCCTGTTCGCATAAGTATCTCTCTCTCTACCTTACAGCGACACGGTCAGTGTTCCGGGGCCAAGTGACGGATTTGCCTTCCCCGCGCCATCAGACCCAACATTCAGTAGCCCGCTATATTCTGGACGACGCCAAGCAGGACGCGAGTAAACGAGATGTCTTCTGGGAATGGCACCAGAAACAATTCGCCTGAGGCTTCGGGGGCTGCCAAAGCGGGCACTCGAAAGAAGATCCGACCCACATATTCGTGTTTAAACTGCCACAAACGCAAAGTCAAGGTATGGCTGTCTTTGAGATGAATGCCCATTGTTCGCGGCGCGTGCTTTGGGGGCTGGGGGCCGTCTTAAATGCCGAGCAGGTCTCACGATCGTGGTGTCGTGCCCTCTGACTAACGCGCAACTTGACAGTGCGACCGAGTAAAGCCGTGCGGTGCCTGCTGCCTCCGCGGTACACCGTCCGAGTGCGAATACGGCACCAGCAAGCGGGACCGCCATTACATCCAGCAGTCGGCTTTGATCGAGAACCTTCTTCGGTCCTGTGAGAATCTGAAACAGCAGCTTGCCGAGGCTCGCCAACTCGCCAATCTTCCCGCCATAAAGGATGAAGACGGACCGCTACCGAGCAGCCAGGCGCTCTACTCCATCAAGGAGTCGCACAACTCAGTTGACGATGGAGACGACTCATTGGACGAATTGGACCTTTCTTCCAAGGCCCCAGACGATGAGCCTTTGCCTTCACCCAATGCAGTCGTGCTGGAGGAGCAACGTACACGTAAAGAAAGTACGTGGTTATCATACCCTCCCCGACCTTTGCATATCCCTCTCGCTCACCAGGGTCCAGGTCGTTACTCCTCTCCACCATTGTCGAAAGAGAAAGTCATTCTTACTGATCCCAATCTAGCTAACGCATTAATTGAATTTTATGTTGAACGCTTGGTTAATGATTTCAGCCCTGCCCAAGTCAGCGGTACCATCGCTTTACGTGAAGCTCGGTCTTTGCGAGTCTTTTCGCCGATTCTGTGCAGTGCGTTTGAAGCGGCATCCCTCACATTTGCTGGCCGGCGTGATGGGAATCGGTCAGTCGAGCTAGCTGGTCACTCGCGTTACCTCCGAGTCTTGCGCTCTCTTCAGCATGCTTTGTATGACCCTCAGCAGGGCAAGTCGACCGAGGTCCTTGTGGTCGTTCTCCTAGCTACTATCATAGAAGTGAGTCCTGGTTGTCGCTTGCGCGATTTTTCACTAATGTGAAAGTAGGCCTTTAAACAAACGTCAAAAGACTCTCTTCTCAAACATCAGCTCGGTGGTCTGGAGCTTTTACGGACTCGGACACCGTATCGACATCGATACGGAATTGAGCGCTCTCTGTATGTTGACCTTCGGATGTATTGGGTATGATTGACTATCATCGATATTCCTAGAATCGACTCTGACAAACTGGCCAGGTCACGGCAGCCTTGGTTCATCGGAAGCCTACTTTCCTTGCGGAAAAAGATTGGTTGACAGTCCCATGGCCTGGGGACGGACCGGCTAAGGACATTCTCCAACGCCTGCTGGATGTTGCAGTGCATATTCCCGGATATCTTGCTCAAGTTGACGAGTTCTTAGCGTCACTAAAGGGGGGCAACAAGCCCCCATCGGAGCTAGTCAACATGCAGAGTGCCATTTGGGAACGGGCTACCGAGCTTCAAGGTCTCCTCCAAGTATGGAAGAACATGTATGCCGACACATACCCGTTAGGTGGACTATGGGAGGAAAGTCCAAGCAAAGCAGACCCAACCGACGACTTCCCCAAATTCAGGTGCCGCAACCCCAGCACAATGCAAGTGATAGTGGGACAGAATATTATGTACCCAGACCTGCTTCTAGCGACATCAATGACCTTCTACTGGGCCTTGGGTCTGATTATCTCCACCACCGACTCGGGACTAGTCAGCGTTCTCGGACTCCAGGAACGATATCAGTACGCGTGCAACATCTGTCGCAGCATGAAATACTACACTCAGAACATCCCGGGCTGTCTGATATCGCGAGTTATGTTCATTCTCCGCACTGCCTTCGACAACTTCGCAGACGGCATGGTCGAGAAAGAATCCATGGCGGAGATGTTTACCTATATCGGTCGGAAATTCGAGCTCCCTGTGTTTTCCAACAAATGCACATCATCTTCAGTGAAGGCTGAAGGAAAGGCATGATTTGTTTGTTGATATGTTTTCCGTATATTACCCTGCATATTCTCCCTTGTTTCGTCTTTTCGAGCGAAAGACTCATACACGCGAGGAGGTTTTACGATTGTCGTGACCATGCTACGTGTGATCACATTATTTACTTTTATTTCTAGATATAGGCGTTATGGCTGGATACAGGATTTGATGTTCAGTTATTACGAGCGTTTCTTTTAAAGCAGGCAGTTGGCGAGATCTTCTCCAATACTACTTACTAAGTCACAAGCACTGAGAACTAGGGTAATTCCAGTATTAAACGCAAAGGACATCCAACATGTTTGTAAACCATCTCTAATGGTTAGAGTCCAAGTACCTCACAAGGTATCTCATTTCTACATATGATGCAAAGGTAGTAAATACTGTATAAATACGACATATATTTACTTTTCCTCACGACCTCATTGCTCCAGAATATACAACTGCAATTCCGTACAGCGATACTCACTGCATAACAATGGCTGATGAATCAATTCTAGTAATCGAAGAATCAAAACAATCAGAAAAAGCAAAAAATATCCCCATCAATTTTTATCCCATGCAAGATTACTTCATCGTACAGAGTGCCATAAGCGACAACATCATCATCATCATTAATATATTTTCTCATAACGTCATTATCTACAGCGAGAATGTACTTGAAATTCCCCTTTTAATTCCTTTCACCGGCCCCATAAGCAGTCCAACCTCTCCCCCAATGATCGCAGCAGGGTATTTCTGAACCTCTGTGACTTGTGTCTTACTAAGGTACGGAGTAGACCTGTCCACCATGCAGGAGAAGGACGCAGAACGGAGCAAGGCCAACAGGCAGCGCCGCCCACATTGTCTATGTGGGCCAGAGGGGGTCTGAGCGGACGATAACTATTCGATAAGGCAAACGAAACAGATCACATGTCGGGGGAAGGGAAAGACAGTGTGCGGTCTGGGTCTGGATTGTATTATTATTATTATTTTTTTTTCCCGCTCACATGACGATGCATGTAGCACGGATCTTGGCTCTTTTCAGTGCTCTTGGGAGGGGGAGGGGGTTTGAGTGAGTGGTTGTTATCATGTCATCACGCCCAGTCAATCCTAGAGATAAAAGAAATAGTTTATGGCCCCATTGGCAATTTCTTTTCCTTTGGTGCTAAAGAGACTGTGTGTGCATCAGCCAACGAGCACCCTTCTCAAGGTTACGCAGAGCGTCAGCACGCAGCACTCAGTAACTAGGGAGAGAGAGAGAGAGAGGAGGGTGTGGGCTTATTGAATGCTGGGCTGCACACTAAGGGGAATCGCGTCCCCCTCTGAGAGATTGTTTTGCTTGAAGCTGGGGCATTGATTGGCGCAACGTCCGTGAATTTCTCCGGCGCCGCTGCGACCGGCGCGATGGTCGGGTGGACGAATCGGGCGGCCCGGTCGGTGGTGGCCCGCAATCTAGTGGCTGGGTGCAGTGCAGATGCTGCGGTGCTCCGCAGGTGCGTAGTTCGACTGTGTTCTGTGTCAATCGGCTCATACTGCTGTGGAGGAGAGACCGGTAACCGTCGGGATAGAGATGAAAGCGTTTCGTGCGAAGAGATAGTCTCCAGTGTCTTGCGCCATCTGGTGGTTGCTATCGTTGTTGGGCTCAGGCTTGCGCGCGGTGGGTGGTGCTCGGATGGTGAATCCACCTTCGGGGTCCACGGGGAGCCAGTTGGCCGTGAAACGGGTGCTTCCATCCGGCATTTCCAGCGGGGTAAGCCCATTTTCGTCCAAGTCCATGGTGAAGCTAATTTCCCTGGACAGGCTTTTGCTGCTTGCTTCTGCGTTGCTGATAGTGGGCAGTGGGTCGCCAAACGGGGGTTGAACCAGTCCATCGTCCAGCGCGTGATGCAGTGAGACTGAGTCGGGAAACCCAATATCGGGGAGTCCGTAGAACTGAACCGGCTCACCCTGATTGAAATCCCGGTCCCAGTCCCCCTCACTCCCACTGTATGACTGTTGGCTCATGCCCGGTGAGCTGCAGGGGTCATCGAGAAGAGGCGACTGGACGAAGTGCAGTCGCGAGCTGGGGCTGTCGTGTGATGCTCGCGGAGAAGGAGTACTTGTGGGAATGTTCATGTAGAGCGCGCGTTCAGTAGCTAATTGGGATGCCGAACGGAGCAAATCGTCTAAAGAAAAATCGGCGGCGGTGGGCTTGGTATCGGGGGCGGTGTTGAATGTGGATTCTCCGAATCTAGTGCAGCAGCCACTGTCAGCCGGAAAGTCCTGGAATCCTTTGATCATGCCATGACCATGGCGCACACCAGAGGACACACATTGAAGTTATTTTGTCCGCCAATCGTGGTACATCCAAAGCATTAGCAACACCCATGGGTTGCGAGGGACGATAGAGGCCCGAGCCCGTCTCGCCTGTCGCCAAGTCGAATTCTGGACAGAGCTCCGGGCTCAGCAATTGTGATGATGACAGATCAAATCCGTTGAGACCTAGATGGCCTCCGTAAAACTCCTCATCCGTGAAATTAGACTCCAGGCCGAGCATTTGAGTGTCGGACGGGCCCATGGAAGTCCATTTCTCGAACTCTTGAGGATGGCTGGTATGCAGCATTGTGCTGGATTTCCGCGTGGTGATGCGGCTAGTCGAGCGATGGTATTTATGCTGTTATACTGGTTCGATCAAATCGTAGAAAGCATTACACCACAGCATTCAATGATGAGGGGTGCTGGCTCTGGAGAGACTTGGTATTGTTTGTTGAACAATGGCATGCGCAACGAGGATCCTAATTAACTTTCAATTTTTGTGTCTGGAGAAGGTTATTTTATAGTTAGTTTTTTTTTTTTGGCCTCGTCGAGAAATCGCGCACGACGGCGATTGATGCTTATAAGACATACTCCGCAGGCCAATGCAGCCGAGGGGCGTGCTAAATGAATCTTGAAATTGAGTTCGTCATTGTGTCGCTGTAGCTGGAGGAAGTGGGCGACCACGGCCGCATTGGCGTCGGTAAAATACAAACTGGAGCAGTCGGACATTGATGGAGCTTGGATACATTTGAACACTTGAGGGGAAGCTCAGTGATTTGACGAACCAGGAACCATCTGATCTTCACGGGACCATGTGGTGTCGCTGAACCTTGCATACCCCATATTCTGGTGTTTCAATTAACCGAGCACCCTTCCCCGGCCTGCCGAACCCGGGAAATTAAAGGCTGTTAAAGCTGAGCGCCTGTTGGTTGGATTCCCAATGCAATGGCTATTCTCCCCGCAACGGGCTTCGGTTCTTTTGCAATTTAACCGAGAAGCCCAGTTTCGGTCCGAGTGAGCACGGCCCGTTCGTTAAATCTGGGGTAAGGGGAAGGGACCGCCCATCACCCCTGGTCCTTGCAGCAGGTGCAGAATGCCAGAAACATGCGATGCCCGACATTAGCGACGGGCGAATGCCCGGAAGCGATATTTGCTCTGCTAAGAGGAAGAAGCATGGTCTTCGGGAAGTGGTGTCCAGGAGAAAGGAGAAAGAACTCTCCAATAAATTAGAAACCGCGATCCAAAACAAACAAGCCACAAGACACCAAAATCATCATATATGCTCGTATATGTACAGGGTAACATCGAAGGGCAGTATCCAAGGAAGATTGATAATAAATAATACTACGAGGTACTTCGGACTAACAGCAACAGCCGTTGCGATTAATTGCCAATGCCGGGGTAAGGTCCGGCAGATGCAGGCACGGGGGAGTGAGCCATGGAAGCGAGCTAGAGCGAGCCCAATCCAGGCAAATAATCAACCGAGAGCGAGGGATACCGTGCCTGCATATGCCAGCCTCTGCGACTGGCCTAGAACCAAGAATGCCCTGGCGGAAGATAATTTAAGCTCTCTCCAACCGATGGCCTGCGGATGCGGAGCCGATGCAACCGTGCGCTGAAATGGGCATCGGTGCTGTGAGAAACTCTAAATCTAAAGAGCCAACCCAGTGCCCTTCCGGGTCCACCGGTAAAGTGCTAAGACGGCCTTGCGACGATGCCGGATCTCACTGTGATTGACAGGGCGCCCACGCGCCTGCGCAACGGCGCTCCGCATGACCTGTCGGAAGTTCCGTTGATATTCAGTGTTCAACGTCACCACGCAGGACTCGGTCGCTCGGATCATCACCTCGCAGGCATTTAGAATACCCTCCCCCGCTTCTTTCTGCAGCCGCTCCACAATCAGCAGGAGAAGAAAGCTGC